GAATACGGGCCCTGGTGCTGAAGAGGCATCGTCTCCCAATCTAACACCACCTGTTGCTGGGTGAATGTGAACATCTGCTTGAATCATGAAATCTGTCCCCAAAAGAATGGGACAAGACAGGTCTGGGATTACCGCAAAGCGATGAGTGAACGGATGCCCCATTAACAGAACAGGCAGCCACACCACACCAGATGGGGTGCACCGTTTTGAGTCAGCCAACTCAAGTGGGTAAAAATTCCAAGGGAGAACAGCATCATCTTTTATTCCGCATTTCACAAGAGTGGATGGATGGACTGCTGAAATGGATGCACCTGTATCAAGGGTGGCCCTCAATGAAACCTGATTGACAACTACCATCGATGTCAATGGGGTACTCCCCAACCTCCTTGGGCTATTTTGAACAAACTTAACTGTGTGAGAACCCTCTGCCTGTTGTGCCCTTTTCCTCGACTCTACTTCCTGCTTAACATCATGACTCCCTTGAAACTTACGTGGTCTAGCCCCAGTTTCTCTTTTAGGGCCTCCAGAAGTGTTTGGAGTGCTTGAAGTCTCCTGACCAGACATAGAATTCACCGTCATTCCCCTGCCAAATTCAGCTTTGAAATCTTGCCTATTCTTTTTACAATTGTCACAATTACGTGTGGTGACCCCAGCAGACAAGCACTTATAGCAGTGTAAGTCTTGGCGCCGAGCTGTCAGGGAGGCAGTGGAGGTTCTGTTATAGGAAATAGGCCCTAAAGCAGCATGGAGCTCGTGAGTGGTCAGAAGTAACTCTGCTAGAGTAGAGGGAGCAGCAGAATGGAGTGCTAGTCTATACTGATCAGAGACATGTCGGCAGATTACTTCAATCTGTTCTCGCTCAGAGGGGGGTTGCTTTAGCCGCTTAAACTCAGTCACTAGATGAGCGACAAAAGTGGGGAGTGGCTCATTTGAAGTTTGAACTCTGTCCAAAATTCCCTCTCCAGATCTTTTCTTCATTATCTGTTGGCAGGAACGCCTGTCGGAAAAGATCTGAAAAATGACTCCATGAGTGTAGGTGGGGTTGCATGGCACAGTACCACTTCCGAGGCTCCTCTTCAAACAGTCTTGTCAACTCAAGGAAGAACTGAGAATCAGACAACCCCAGTGTTGTCTTGTACAAGGAGACAGACCGTAGCCACTCTTCTGGGTCAAGAGACTTGCCCCCATCAAACTTGGGTGGAACCAGACCCAGTAGTAGTGCTGAGTTAACAGCAGGGGCTGTAGTAGGTGTAAGGTGTTTGCTTGTGTCTTGTGAATATTGAGAAATCTGATCATCCTGAACATTGTGACAAGGGAGTATGCGTGTAGCCGGGGTTGAAGTAAGTATAGGGCAAGCCATT